TTACTGGAGCCCATAGAAATCCACAACGCAAATGCGCCACCCACCTTGGGATTTAAGTTCTAAGATCTCAATATAGTTACAAAGGCCCTTCAAACCGAAACGCATTACTGCTTCACGGCAGAAATTGGCCAGGTGGTGGTACCTACCCGTGCGAACTCACAAGAGGTCCTACCACCAGTAAATTATTATTATTAATTAAAATAGTTCGGGAGTTTTCAGACCACATAACAGTCAAATTCTTTATGCATTACATCAACGAGACGATTGAATCTGCGACCTTGTAAAGTTTTTTAGATGATTATCGACTATCTAGGCGCCATTGAATTAACAACATCCTAACGTAATTCCGTGGACGGCCAAGAGGACAAATAAATCTATCCTGGATCAGCTTCGCATACGAGTCAGGCTCTCGACAATCTGCTACCAGAGGATCCTCAGCTACTTCGGTCATATTGCCCGCCGACAGTCAGATAACTCGGACAAAGTGATTGTGACGGGCAAAGTAGAAGGAGAGAGACCCCGCGGCCGATTACCTAGCCGTTGGTGTGATCAAGTAACCGCTCTAACTGGGCTGCCAGTCACAACCGCCATTCGAGAAGCTGAGGACCGGACGAGATGGAAACAGCTCACGAGACAGGCCACGGTCAAGTTTCATGGACACGACCTTCAGCAATGAAGAAAGCGACGAAGAAGAAGAAGACTAATAGATCTAAGAATAAGATTTACTGGTGGTTGGACCTCTTGTGAGTCCGCACGGGTAGGTACCACCGCCCGCCTATTTCTGCCGTGAAGCAGTAATGCGTTTCGGTTTGAAGGGTGGGGCAGCCGTTGTAACTATACTGAGACCTTGGAACTTATATCTCAAGGTGTGTGGCGCATTTACGTTGTAGATGACTATGGGTTCCAGTAACCACTTAACACCAGGTGGGCTGTGAGCTCGTCCACAAATCTAGGCCAAAAAAAAATTGAAAATAAGAAGAATACTTTAAAGCATGATCACAAAACTCCCTAACGTACACAAATTGTTACATACAATTCAAGATTGAAGTTCTCATTTTAGAATGTGCTAAAATTTACATATTTAACTAAATTAAACCAGTCGCGGGCACGCGGCGAAGCTGAGCCCGGAGTGTCAAGGGTAGCCGGGTCAGCGCGACCTCAGGCGGCGTGATTAGACTATATAGTACCAAGCTTCACATTTAGATATACATTTTTGTTATAGTTTTAATATATATCAACCTAACTGCGACTGATTTTGTGTATGGGATCGGGATCAGTACAGATCTACGCAGGACTGTGTGTCTATCTATATATTAATACGTGAAGCAAAAACTTTGTATCCCTTTGTATGAAAATTGCGCGGACGGAGGAGTATGAAATTTTCCACACTTATAGAGAATATAGAGAAGAAGTGCACAATGCTAATATTTTTTTTAAATAATGCACATAAGATACATTAAATCAATAAAGAAAACATTACACACACTACATACCATGTATTTGACGCACACACGCATGCATACTATTTATTGTCAAACTTTTGTTCTTGACGTCTGTGGTCAAATTGATAATAGATTAAATATTGTTTTTCTTTATTAATAATTTTTATAGAGTAGCCTTGGCGAAATTTGTGATTATAGAAGTATAAAATACATAATAGTGTACAAACTTACAATTCCAATTAATTATAGTCGAATTTCGACTACTGCGGGACCTCTAGTAATAGTTTGACTTAGAACTATCGGCTGGATGTAAGTCTGTTCTCTGTCTGTCTGTGTAGGAGTCTGTTTGAAGTCGTCGCGGCCTAAAGGATAAGACGTCCGGTGCATTCGTATCTAACGATGTAACGGTGTTCGAATCCCGCAGGCGGTTACCAATTTTTCTAATGAAATACGTACTTGACCAACGTGTAATACAAATCAAGCCTGCAAAATTATAATTCGCGTAATTACTGGTGGTATGTCTTTCGGTCTGAAGGACGGGGCAGCCGTTGTAACTATACTGATACCTTAGAACTTATATCTCAAGGTGGGTGGCGCATTTACGTTGTAGATGTCTATGGGCTCCAGTAACCGCTTAACACCAGGTGGGCTCTCGTCCACCCATCTAAGAAATAAAAAAATGAATAAAAAAAGGAGAAGAACTCGGGATCAGTACAGAGCTGCAGAAGACTGTGTCTATAATAGTTTAATCTAGAACTATCTGCTAGATGTAAGTCGGATCTGTTTTTGTTTGTGTACGAGAAGAGCTCGGGATCAGTACAGAGCTGAACAAGAGTGGTGTATACTTGGTAAAATAAAAAAATAAAAATTATTTATAATATATGATTGTTTTATTTATCACCATTTATGATTAGATTAAACTTAAATATACATATTATATGAACTTTATTGCTATACTACTGTTATCACACAAAACAAAGGGTTAGATGCGCCTAATAAATATAACAGTAAAATTTATTTAAAACATTCTACTATATGAGATATTTATTTCATTAAATATACTCATTAAGTATATAGTAAGTACATTACGAACATAATCGTAATAATCCATCGGCTACTTTTTAAATATTTGGTGGCGCCATCCCTAAAACGATAAAATGTTACAAACTTGCTCGAATTATAAATAAATAATAAATAAATATTTGCTAACAATCACGCCACGTTAACTGGTCCCGTGGTAAGTTCGTAAAGAACTTGTGTTACAGGTACCAGATAACGGAAATAAATGTAAGATTTTTATTATACACATACACATATTTAATATACATCCATAACCCTGGAAAATACATTTTTATATTTATCATACAAATATCTTCTCTTGGCGGGATTCGAACCCGCGACCCCCTTGTGTGGTGACCATGTCACTTACCGCTACACCAGACGGCCGTTAATTACGTGTACACTTACAACCATTTTTAATGTTACAAAAAATTATAAAGTTGTAGTTATTTGTTAAGTGAATTTGTTAATATATTGAATACTGTATAAGCTATTACATGTATGTATCTATGTAAAATGTAAAATTAAACATCACAAAATATAAATATATTTTAAAAATACCCGCCGCAGTGATTTATTTTTACTAAAACTAGGTACGTTATTGAAAACTATTAAGCTATTGCATAGCTTTTATCGCGGGCTTTGAGCGCGGCGACTGAATCAAGAAATTCCGTATCGAAAATAACCTGACACCCCCACTACGCCTACTATATAGCTCGCGTTAAACACATTCACACGTTGCGCTTGTGTAGTGTTTGTGAATAAGCGCGCGACGTGACGTCGCACTGCATGCACATCATGAAAAGTCTGCCCATCTCTCTCTCGCGCGGTCTAGCTTATGAGTGTGAAGGGGACAGTTAATGTTTTGCTTTTGTTAATGTTTATAAATATAGCGTGGTCTTATTTTATTATTGTTTTAATATTAAATTATTATTGTCGATTTATAATTGCATAAGTTGATAGAAAATGCTATGCAATAGCTTTACCGCGGCAGTCTCCGAGTGCCACACGTGTTTTTTTTTATGATTGAAGGATTACTGGTGTCCCGGAGGCCTTTCCAGTTTCACCAGGATAACTATATAATCAGACATTACAGTACAATAAATATGTACATTCAAATTTCCTCCTACCAGTTATTCAAATAATGTTTCGTTAAAACATTCGCTTTCAAAGTACATAAGTAATCTATATATTAATACGTGAAGCAAAAACTTTGTATCCCTTTTTACGAAAATTGCGCGGACGGAGGAGTGTGAAATTTTCCACACTTATAGAGAATATAGAGAAGAAGTGCACAATGCTAATATTTTTTTTAAATAATGCATAAAAGATACATTAAATCGATAAAGAAAACATTACACACACTACATACCATGTATTTGACGCACACACGCATGCATACTATTTATTGTCAAACTTTTGTTCTTGACGTCTGTTGTCAAATTGAGAATAGATTAAATATTGTTTGTCTTTATTAATATTTTTGATAGTGTAGTCTTGGCGAAATTTGTGAATATAGAAGTATAAAATACAATCATAATAGTGTACAAACTTACAATCTACATCTATCCTTATAAGCGCTAAATATAAATACCTTTAAAATACTCATTAATAATGGAGTAGACTAATTAATTGATATGTCATTCATTATTGGTATATCATTTATCTCAATAATAATGGAGTTTTACTGGTGGTAGGACCTCTTGCGAGTCCGCGCGAGTGGGTACCACCACCCTGCCTATTTCTGCAGTGAAGCAGTAATGCGTTTCGCTTTGAATGCTGGGGCAGCCGTTGTAAGTATACTTGAGACCTTAGAACTTATATCTCAAGGTGGGTGGCGCATTTACGTTGCGGATGTCTATGGGCTCCAGTAACCACTTAACACAAGGTGCGCTGTGAGCTCGTCCACCCTTCTAAGCAATAAAAAAAAAGTAGACTAATTGATATGTAATTCATTATTGGTATATCATTTATCATAGACACTTGGAGCTAGCTACAATCATATTTACAATAGTCTAAATTATTTACTTACGAATCTATCTCTTTACTAATATTGTCTACTTAATATATCTTTACTTATATTGAAACTTGGTATCCATGTAGAAAATACATGTACCTAATGGATAGGCTAATATTTATATGAGTGTTGGACTCCCTAATAATAATGACAATAAATAATTATGTTAATTTTAAATGCCCAGCGAAGCGGGCGAGTACGGCTAGTGATTTTATGTACTCAATAACAAATTTTCGACAATTTGGTTTAATGAATTATCTAATCATCACATCAGTTCTAATAATGACGCGTGATTGAGAAGTGGCTTTAAGATCACGACTTATCAGAGCTTTTAGATAAAAATGTTTCTTGATTAAGTCAAAAGCTAGACAAGCAATGCGGTTCAGGTTTAAAGCGTCATCTTTTGTAGAAAGATCTAGAATGACTGCTGACGAATTTCTCAATGATTCCCTGTAGGTTCCAGGAGCATTTGTACGCTTTCTTTAAAAAATATTAGTCAATCCATTGTTAGCGGCTGGTTCTACTTTGACGTAGTTACCGTAAGGAGTGCTAATTGTCTGGGGCCCGGCGGCGTAAGGATCCATTAACACATTCGTGTTCACATCTTGAACGCCCGCACCGCCATCTCTGTTCCAGGAGGCTAAAAGTAAAAATATATTACAGCGCCACCTATTGTTAAATGAATGAACTACACGAAAAATTATGCTTTCTGGACTCGTTCGAAGTTACGCAATGGATATTTGAGTATTGCAAATAAACAACTGGTATGCAGTTAAATAATTTAATAGATTATAAAATATGTATAATTCTTTCTATAACGTATTGTGTCTTGAAATAAACAGAGGCAACGTAGTTATGCTATTGGACGGTAGATGTCGCTTATTTATAGTGTTTTCTATGTTTTCTTACTTAGCGCGCTATCGTCGTGGAGCTCGTGGTGTCCGTTGTGTATGTGTAAATGAATCTCCTTTTGGTGCGCGTGCGGATACGGGGTCTCCCAGGCCACGCTGTACTGGCCTTTGGCGCCGAACAGAGCCCCAAGCTGCAAATAATACGATCGATATAAGAGTCGACTATTATCAAAGCCGGCAATCTGACTTTTGGACAATGATTGGTAAATCAGAAAAACGAATTATTGACTTTGTATTCCATTGGCAGTCACAAAACTCTTCGGAACGACATCTTATATAAATAACAGGTTAACTATTAACCTTTATTTAATGCAGGTTTTGAACCGTATTCTTTGAAGGAGACGATTATATTCAAATCAATCTGTATTGACATATCAATAACATTTTTTTGTCCAAATGCACAGATTGCCACCTTTGATAATAGACGACTCAATTAAGCGCGAATGAAATTCGTAACGTCACGTTTCTCGAAGATAATCAGAGACGTGGGGACCAGTGTGTTTAGTGCGAGTTTTTTAACGTTCTCGATAGCGTAAAAGTTAACTCATATTTGTATGGAATGGGATCGTTTGCGTACGTTTGCCGCTAGGGGCGCTGTTTCAACTGCATACAAAATTGAGTAATTTTTTTTATTGGTTAGATGGGTGTACGATCTCGCAGCCCTACTGGTGTTAAGTGGTTACTGGAGCCCATAGACATCTACAACGTAAATGCGCCACCCGCCTTGAGATATAAGTTCAAAGGTCTCAAGTATAGTTACAACGGCTGCCCCACCCTTCAAACCGAAACGTACAACTTCATGGTACAAATAGGCAGGGCGGTGGTACCTACCCGCGCGGACTCACAAGAGGTCCTACCACCAGTGATTACGCAAATTATAATTTTGCGGATTTCATTTTTATTACACGATGTTATTCCTTCACCGTGGAAGTCAGTCGCGAACATTTTTTGAGTACGTATTTCATTAGAAAAATTGGTACCCGCCTGCGGGATTCGAACACCGGTGCATCCCTCAACACAAATGCACCGGACGTCTTATCCGTTAGGCCACGACGACTTCAAGTTAAATTTTACGCTATCGAGAACATTAAATAACTCGCACTATTCAGAAACAATACATATTGTGGTTCTGGATAAAACACCTTTGGCTAATGATGGTCGCCATCGACGAAAGTGCCATCTACAAATTCAATAAACGTCATACGTCAAACCACATTGACAGCAAAAACGTCATTCTATGTCATTTGTGTCACTTCATATTATTCATAACTTTCTAACGTGACGAACTAACAGCCTTTTTTGTAAAATCGAGGGTATACGAAATTGTACACCTTTTTTGTAAAATCGAAAATATGAGTCGTCTATTATCAAAGGCGGCAATCTGTGCATTTGGACAACAAAATTTTATTGATATGTCAATACAGATTGATTTGAATATAATCGTCTCCTTCAAAGAATACGGTTCAAAACCTGCATTAAATAAAGGTTAATAGTTAACCTGTTATTTATCTAAGATGTCGTTCCGAAGAGTTTTGTGACTGCCGATGGAATACAAAGNTAATCGTCTCCTTCAAAGAATACGGTTCAAAACCTGCATTAAATAAAGGTTAATAGTTAACCTGTTATTTATCTAAGATGTCGTTCCGAAGAGTTTTGTGACTGCCGATGGAATACAAAGTCAATAATTCGTTTTTCTGATTTACCAATCATTGTCCAAAAGTCAGATTGCCGCCTTTGATAATAGTCGACTCATATACGAAATTATACAGTAAAACGAATTCTCTTTTGGATATCCTCCGTTCCTGCGTCTACACGCACTAACTATAACTAAGCACACAGGACATTGGAATAGCAAAACGGGCCCGCTCCTCAGATATCACGTGTTAGGTTACACTCACACGTCATATGACAAAGAAAGCCACTTTCACCGGACTTGCGAGTAAAAAACAAAAAACAAACACAAAATGAATCAGTCGCCCAGTTAATTAATATTGCGCAAAAAATGTACTCTAACCTAAAAATTCGAATTTAGTTTCTTCACTAAAAAATTTTATACTAAATTAACTTTTGCCCGCGACTTTGTCCGCGTGGAAATAATTCATAAATCGTCTTTTCGCATTAAAAGCGTACAATTTCAAAAAATATTCGAAATTGAGTTGATATATATGCGGAATCATTTGGTTATAACCAGTATTTTTCTAATAATTACTGTCAAAAGAGCGTAGTTAAGTTTTTGTTTTTTTTTTGTTTTTTTGTTTACCTATGTTTTGACTACTATTAACAAAATTAAGACATAAATTTATCTTACTTTAAAAGACAGCTGATAATGTAACTGGTACAAAATAAAAAATAAATGTTGCAAAGATGATTAAATATTAAAAATATCGCATGTTAAACCTTTAAAACAGTCTCCTGTGAAATTAGTAAGTTTTGAGATTATACAGTTTTAATGCGAGAAGACGAAATAAGGCTTTATTTTAGAACAAATTTGGTTAGCATAAAAAACGTTATAGTGAGCCAACCTTAACATTTAGACATATTCTGTCGCGGACTTTTTTTTAGAACTTTTAAAGGGGAACAATTCTGTCATACATTATTTTAGCGAAACTTTAACCGTTTCTGCAGCGCACGCAGCGGAAGCTCTCAAAAGGAAAAAATAAACCCGATTTTGAAACATCCTTTATCGGTGCTCCGCTTGTATTGGTCTTAGCGTGATGTTATATAGCCAATAGCATTTCTCGATAAATGGACTATCTAACACTGAAAGAATTTTTCAAATCAGAGCAGTAGTTCCAACTAGCCCACTGAGTTTCTCGCCGGATCTTCTCAGTGGGTCGCGTTTCCGATCCGGTGGTAGATTCTGCGAAGCACGGCTCTTGCTAGGGTTCCTGCTAGCAACGTCATCAGGTTTGAGCCCCGTGAGCTCACCTACTAGCCACGGTTACGCTGAAATAGCCTCTCAAGGCTATCAGCTTAGGTAGGAAAAAAAAAAAGTTCCTGAGATTAGCGCGTTCAAACAAACAAACTCTCAGCTTTATAATATTAAGTATAGATACCTATATAATTTCTGTAAATTTTTGAAATTACGTTCATCTCACGTCAAGATATAATAATATATTATTATTAGTATTCGTTATTTTCATAAATTAACATACTGAGCGTTATTTTCGAAAGTATAATAAAAAATAAATAATGAGATTTTGAAAAATAAAAATTAACATTGACCTATGAAAGTGCCGAAAAGGAAATTGAACACAATATTATTTCAGTTTAATTAACATATTATATATATATAATTGGGATCATGGCACATAAAATAAGATCCGGTGTTGTACTTTTAATGTTCTTTTCTGAAATCTTTTTCTATTATAATAATTAAAAATTAAATGACACCTTTTTTACGCTTTGTTTGTTCAATAGTCTTCGCCATGTTTCTTTTCTCTGTCATTCTTTTTTTCTTTCTTACCGTTTTTTGTCACTAATTTTTTTCCTAGTTATTCTCTGGTACCTAGCCTATACAGTGCGTTAATTTACATATATGGGATTATAGGGGATATGTTCCTAGGTATGGTCGTAATATTTTTTTATTTTTTTTTTAATGCTTAGACCTGTGGACGATCTCACAGCCCACCTGGTGTTAAGTGGTCACTGGAGCCCATAGACATCTATTACGTAAATGCGCCACACACCTTGAGATATAAGTTCTAAGGTCTCAGTATAGTTACAACAGCTGCCCCACCCTTCAAACCGAAACGCATTACTGCTTCACGGCAGAAATAAGCGGGGCGGTGGTACCTACCCGTGCGGACTCACAAGAGGTCCTACCACCAGTAAATTAATAAGGTCTATTTTACTTTTTTATTAGTCCATTTGACGACGCGCTTACAAAGGATATTCGGTTGGGTAACTACATATNAAGGTCTCAGTATAGTTACAACAGCTGCCCCACCCTTCAAACCGAAACGCATTACTGCTTCACGGCAGAAATAAGCGGGGCGGTGGTACCTACCCGTGCGGACTCACAAGAGGTCCTACCACCAGTAAATTAATAAGGTCTATTTTACTTTTTTATTAGTCCATTTGACGACGCGCTTACAAAGGATATTCGGTTGGGTAACTACATATTGGAATCTTTTTTATAAATATGTATGTACCGATGTATCGATTAGATCCGCGAATAGAGAAATCTTTAGCCGCGATTACAGGAATTGGGTCGCGTTTTTCTAATCCGCGTATAGTGAAAACGCGAATGTCGGAAGAGCGGATAAGGAGCTTTTAATGTACTTAAAAGAAATCATTACCTCTTAACAACAATTTCAATTCTTATTTGAATCACTCGAGGCTAATTACTATGGCTGTTTAATGAATCAGATTTGAGGGTAGTTACAAAATAGTAGTGCAAGGTAGAGGGGGAAGAGGTCGACCGAAGAAGACATGGATGGAGTGTGTTAATGACGTTAAGAGAGAGGGAGAGAAGTGAGACGGATTTGACGGCTGCTAGAAGAGAATGGAAACCCACAGACACAGCCCACTGAGTTTCTCGCCGGATCTTCTCAGTGGGTCGCGTTTCCGATACGGTGGTAGATTCTGCGAAGCACTGCCCTAGCTAGGGCCAGTGTTAGCAACACTCCGGCTTGAACCCCGTGAACTCACCTACATATTAGGGCGAAGCTGAAATAGCCTCTCAAGGTTATCAGCATGGTTAGGAGAAAAAAAAATGGAATAGAAAAATTGGCTGTGCCGACCCCATAGATAAGGTGGAGAATAAGAGAAGGTAGTTAAATATTTTTTTAATTTTTTTTATTGCTTACATGGGTGGACAAGCTCACAGCCCACCTGGTGTTAAGTGGTTACTGGAGCCCATAGACATTTACAACGTAAATGCGTCACCCACCTTGAGATATAAGTTGTAAGGTCTCAGTATAGTTACAGCGGCTACCTCACCCTTCAAGCCGAAACGCATTACTGCTTCACGGCAGAAATAGGCAGGGTGGTGGTACCTACCCGTGCGGACTCACATGAGGTCCTACCACCAGTAAATGAATATATCTCACTTTCGCTGCTCCAGCCAACAGTAACAGCTTGAGGATGAGCAGCACCACGGCTAAGGTCTTGACTCCGACGATGGCGGCTATGACGGCCCACGTGGAGGCCGCCCCCACTTGGAACGCCAGAGGGATCATAGCCTGCGCCATTTTCTTGAAAGGGCGACCGAAGGTGCGACCTGAAACATTGAGGGTCTTCTTTATAGTAGTACATAAGCAAACTATGTCATCGCGGCCTAAAGGATAAGTCGCCCGGTGTACTCTTGTCTAGCGATGCGACAGTAATAGAGTTCGAATCCCGCCAGCGATCACCAATTGTTTTAATGAAATACGTCATTAGCACACGTTTATGACCAAATCAAACCCGCAAACTTTGCTTTATTACTAGGTAGTGCAAGGTAGAGGTCGACCGAAGAAGACATGGATGGAGTGTGTGAATGACGATATGAGAGAGAGAGAGAGGAGTTGTTGAGATGACAGCTGATAAAAGAGAATGGAAGAGAAAAATTCGCTGTGCCGACCCCACCTAGTGGGATAAGGTGAAGAGATAGAAGAAGACTAGTGGTAGAGGGTACGCACGCACGAGTAGGTACGACCACCCTGCCTATTGCTGTCGTGAAACAGTAATGCGTTTCGATTTGTAGGGTGAAGCAGACATTGTACTGTGAGCTCAGAACTAGTGTTTTTTTTTATTCACCTTGTAGGCAGACAACCATACGGCCCACCTGATGGTGAGTGTTTACCGTCGGCCATGGACTTCAGCAATGCCAGGGGCAGAGCCAAGCCGCTGCCTACCGCTTAATACTCTCTCATAAGCATCTTTTGAAGAAGGCCATGTTATAGCGCTCGGGAAACACCGTGGAGGGGAGCTCATTCCATAACCGGATGGTGCGTGGCAAAAAAGACCTCTGGAAACGCACTACCGATGAACGCAGCGGTTCCAGGTAATATGGATGATCTCTGCTCCGATGACGGGACGTGCGATGATAAAAAGGAGATGAAGGGATCATCTCAAACAATTCCTCAGAGCATTCCCCAGTGTCTCGAGGTGGCGGCAGTAATAACTTAAGATCAAGTGGGCTCGTTCACCCGTGTAAGCTTTAAGGATCTCTTGTGCTGACACAAATTTGACGTAATTCATCTGGTGACTTAATATTTTCATTGGTCCTCGCGTGACCTGATCATAATTAAAATTAATCTAAGGGTTTTAACCTCGCATTTATTATTTCCGAAATTACATAAGCTTTACAGTTCACGTGGTCTTTTTTATTATTATTATTATTAATCCTACCTAAATGCCAGCGTAACCAGGCGAGTAGATGAGCTCACGGGGTTCTAACCTGGAAATTTGCTAACACTAACCCTAGCAAGAGCAGTGCTTCGCAAAATCTACCACCGGATCAGAATTGCGACCCACTGAGTTTACGTTGTCGCGAGTCCTGGCTATAAAACAAAAATTGAGGGTAGTTAACACAATTGTCATATTATGTCAAATAACGCATTCGTCCGCTACCGCGAAAACTATAACGCATTAGAAGCGTCGTAATAATGTAATGATAATAATATTAAAAAGTAAAAGTGTTTTTAATTAAGTGACTCATTATGTCGGCTTAGTATCCGAGAACAGATTAACATTTCATTTGATGAGAGATCTGTGTACACAGCCCAGACTTTTGAAGCCTTACTTTTCCTCTGATAAGTGGGTACGTGGAAGATCCGCCTACACTGGGCAGACATTTAAAGCTCTACATTTCCCAGAAGAAGTGGCACGTAAGAGATCTTCCTACACTGCCTAGACATTTAAAGCCTTACATTTTCCCGGAGACGTGGCATGTGAGAGATCCGCCTATACTGGCCAGACATTTAAAGCTCTACATTTCCCAGAAGAAGTGGCACGGAAGAGATCTTTCTACACTGGTGATACATTTAAAGCCTTACATTTCCCCGAAGAGGTGGCACGTGAGAAATCTGCCTACACTGGCAAGAAATTAAAAGCCTCATATTTCCCCGGGCAGTTGGCACGTAAGAGATCTGCCTACACTGGCCAGACATTTAAAGCCTTACATTTCCCCGAAGAGGTGGCACGTGAGAAATCTGCCTACACTGGCAAGAAATTAAAAGCCTCATATTTCCCCGGGCAGTTGGCACGTAAGAGATCTGCCTACACTGGCCAGACATTTAAAGCCTTACGTTTCCCCCAATAAGTGGGCACGTGAGAGATCTGTCTACGCTGGCCAGGCATTTAAAGCCTAACATTTCCCCAGAGAGGTGACACGTAAGAGATCTGCCTACACTGGGCAGACATTTAAAGCCTTACGTTTCCCCCGATAAGTGGGCACGTAAGAAATCTGGTAACACTGGCCAGACATTTAAAGCCTTACACTTCCCCGGAGATGTGTCACGGGAGAGATCTTCCTACACTGGTCATAATTTAAAGCCCCTTCCAGGAGAGGTGGCACCTAAGAGATCTGCTTACACTGCCTTTTGCTGCAAAGCACTGCTCTTGCTAGGGATAGTGTTAGCAAATTCTCTCAGGTTGAGCCCGTGAGCTCATATACCTGTCCGCGCGTAGCTGAATAGCCCCTTTGACTACCAGCGAATAGACAAAAGAATACTACTCAGACATTTAAAGCTTCAAATGAAGTCGTCGTGGCCTAAAGGATAAGACGTCCGGTGCATTCGTGTTGAGCGATGCACCGATGTTCGAATCTCAGGCGGGTACCAATTTTTCTAATGAAATACGTACTCAACAAATGTTCACGATTGACTTCCACGATGAAGGAATAACATCGTGTAATAAAAATCAAACCCGCAAAATTATAATTTAAGTAATTACTGGTGGTAGGACCTCTTGTGAATCCGCACGGATAGATACCACCTCCCTAAAAGAATACTACTCAGACATTTAAAGCCTCAAAATTCCCCAGACAGGTGGTACGTAAGAGATCTGCTAACACTGCCCAGATATTTCGCAGACATGACATTAATCATGGTGAAAGCTATCGGTTTAATATCGACGTTCTAACGTATTTATTACGACTTTCGATTTCAAACAACTGTGTTACGCCCGTCTTAATAACCGACTAAATGTTAATCATACTATAGTGTTATATACAGTATAGGGTAATTACTTAATGGTGGCGGAGATTTAATGGAGGATCCGGAGAACCTATGGCACGATGGACCGATGACACAGTCAGGGCAGCTGGGCAGATATGGATTAGAATAACTGGATATCGAACATTATGGTTTAAAAAAGGAGATAGGGCATTATGGCATGCCCAGCAGTGGATATCAAAGGACTGAAGATGAATGAATGAATGAATGAATAGTGTTTATGTAATTTCTAACGGTAGGCAGCGCTTTGGCTCTTTTGGTCCCTGGCTTTGCTGATGTCCATGGGCGACAGTAACCACTTACCATCAGGTGGGTCATCTGCCGAAAAGGGCAATAAAGAAAGATAAGCCCCAAATTTTTTTCATACCAGCATCTCGTCATCTATTTGTGAAATGACAAACTGACAATTTCTATACATAGAAATCTCATTACAAAACCTCAATTAGAAGATCGGGCCACAAACAGTTGCCGTCGCTCTAAGCACGTCATTTCGGATCCACCCGATTAGATCTCGGTGCTTTTAGGTAATCCAAGCACCGGTCACCGTTCTCGTTAAAAAAAAATCGGTTGTCTCGTTAAAAAAGAAAATACTGATGGAATGGTTTCATTTTTCAAAAGAAAATTTTAATTTGGACAATTGACACCACATTCACTTTTCACTGAACTTTATACAGGGTGGCCCATAAGTCCTTTGATATGAAAAAAAATTATTAAAATAAAACTAATTACATTATGAATTAAATTTTTATTTACATAAAAAGCTTAAAAAACGGGAATTATTTTTTGAAAATAACATCTCCTAAATGTAATCCGTTGCGATCACGGCACTCTTGCAAACGACGTCTAAAATTGTCGATGACTGCGCGGCACGTCACTGCTGAAATGCTTGTCATTTCTCTGCGGATGTTTTCTTTTAGGGCCTCAATTGACCGCGGGTTTGTGTCGTATACTTTAGCCTTAAGGTAGCCCCACAAAAAAAAATCCATCGGGGTCAGATCTGGACTACGTGGAGGCCAGGAAATGTCTCCTCTCTTAGAGATAACTTTGCCAGGAAAAAGTTGACGGATAACGGGCATAGCAGTGTTAGAGGTGTGAGAAGTGGCCCCATCCTGTTGAAACCACGTCCTGGCATTAAAGCCTGAAAAGTTTTGCAATTCTGGTATGAAAAACTCTTCGATCATAGCCACATATCGCTCCGACGTAACAGTAACTGCGCGCCCTCTGCCATCCTCAAAGAAGTAAGGCCCTAGGATACCATGGGCTGACATAGCGGCCCAAACAGTCACTTTCGGACTATGTAAGGGCTTCTGATGCTTAAGTTTTGGATTGATGGGGCTCCAATAGCGGCAATTTTGTTTACTAACATGCCCGTTAAGATGGAAATGAGCCTCGTCA